ATTCTGCTTGGCTGCGAGCTTGCGCGCCTTTGGGTAAAAAGGCGATAAAGAGGAAGAGGGATCATCCCTTTCTGCCCCAGTACGAGGCGTCACCGGTCCGCCGTCCTCGGAGCAGGTGTCTCCGATCGACGACCACGCGCAAGTGGAAGCGTTTCTGAGACGTGTCTCCGGCTCTCCGCCCACGAAGTGCACTCGGCGTTCCGCGAGGGAGAGAGGGTCAGTCCCGTCAATCGTGTCGAGACTCGTCAAGGACGTGTCTCAAGGACGTGTCCCATGAGGGCAGGCGCCTAGCCTCCACTTGTGAAGCCCCTCTGGCGAGGAGCTGTGGTGCCCTGCAAAGAAGGACGAGCCTCGATAGGCCCTTCGAAGGGGGCCGCCCGACGACGCGCCAAACTGGCGCACCAACGTCCCAGATCGGTCGGACAAATTCGTATTGACGGTGGCGACAAGGCAGAGAGAGCCACGGGGACGTGGGATGGTGGTCGGATCTGTGAGATCGAACGCGGCTGTGCAGCGAATGCCACTACTTCTTGGTGGACGTATCGGTGTCTTCCGGTTACTCCCCCGGCGGATGGGCCGGCTGATATCGAAGGTGGGTGGGTTACTGCACGCCGCCATCGACTGCTCCCAAAAAAACCCCTGGACGGTAATTTCCTCTTCCTTTGGGCGACACCTGCGGCGACGACGACCTTCACTCGCACCGGAGAGTCGAGTACGACCGTCAACCTGACGTTCTCATCGACGCCAGGGTCAAGCTTGCGCGTGGACAGTGAAAGGAGGTTACGATCATCTTCTCCTCCGATACGTGCTCGGACAAGCTTCGTCGCAACGCTTGCAGCCACATCCATTCAGTCACCGAGGTGCCAACCTCCATCATCTCCCTCTAGCTCTGCATGCCTCGCTCTCGGCGACAACGGCAATGTCGCCAAAGCGATGGAGAACATCGTTCTTCGTAGGCTGCAGCACGTGTTGGCCACGACATGGAAGCCAAGTCGTCGGTATGTCACTGTGCCCGGAATCTCTACTGTGCATGTGGTTGGAGACATTCTCGAAGCCGGGGGGCGAGAGATCAAGGATAAGAATCACGTTGCGATCCTACGGGTTGATGTGGCAAGTGCGTCCAACCAAGGTGACCATAACCGCCTGCACCAGGTGTTCATCGGCCTGGATCTCAAGTCCTTCGGCACATGGGTAAGCCCATAGCTGCAGGAAAGGACGTTCACCGTTCACCTAGAGAGTGCGGTCTCAAGCGTCTACAGTACAGGTGATACGTGGACGATCTCTTCGTGGTAGTGTCGTCGCTGTCCAGCTATGACGTCTTCCTGAAATGACAGGAGTTGCTTGGACCGGGTGGTCGCCTGGTCGCAAGAGCATTAGATCGGTCTGGATAAAGCCGCCTCCCTGATAGCTAGCGGCTCGACTAGGCAAAGACACGAGCTCGCCAACCGGACGCTCGAGATAGGGAAGATCCTAGGGAGTGGCCGGCGAAGAGGATGTGGACGATCCTCGAGGTGCCAGTTTGATGACCGTGATCGGCGCGCGAGCAGCCAGAAACGTATTGCTTTGGCGTCACCTGTTGCCTCCTCCTACGGTAGCAGCCCGGAATTTTCCAGTCATTGCGCGTTCCGGTCCCTCAGTCACCGTCTTATTGGACGATTCAGCGTCCGAATCCTCGGTCGAGTACCTCGTAGGCGCGGTCGACGCCAATGGCCACCGCGACCCAGACGACGATGACGTGATGAGGCAAAATGGCGTGCAGGTGCAGTGCATGATGTGCATGGCTCCAACAAATAATAGTCGCAATCATCACGGTTCTCTTCAACATTTGCAGGCCGGGCTTTGGTGTGCGACCGGGAAAAGAGGCCCTCAGAGGGGAGACCGAGCTGAGATTGACACCGGAGAAGGGACTGCCACATAGACGCCGCCTTAAGCAACCGGGTTGGACAAAGACAGTAAAACCGGGAAACGCGCTGAGAACACGGCGTGAGACCACGCCCTACGCGGGGGCTGTGGGCAGCGAGGATATATCGCCGAACAGAGCGTGCAGCACCGCGGCGTGGTTCTCCGCCATGCAGTCCAAGTCTCAACGGCCAGACGGAGGGTGCGGACAGCGTTGCCATTCAATGCGTTTCAGAGAGAGCAAGGCTCGGCCTTGGCGTACGGCTGGCCTAGCCTGGTGCACATGGAGCACTGAGTACCATCCATGCGAGGTGAGGCTTTGCTCGGAATCTCATCCGACTTGACCTGCGTTCTCTTCCGCTTGCGGTCCGAGATCGTCGTATCGTGGAAGGGGAAAACACGATCCAAGAAGGGTCCCGAACCTCTTCCAAGCAGATGTCAAGAGAGGGGCGCGGTTCTGGTGCGGCACTCCAGAGTGTCGCTATCCATCTGCATCATGCTTCCACCCTGGCGCATCCCCCCCGCTGCACGGCAAGCCAAGAGTTTGGGTCCCAAATGGACGACTCTTGAGCTTGGAGCCCATCTCTTGCTTGCGGAGCACATCTTTTGCTTGCGGGTATTCGCTTCGATGACCTCGGGCGATTGACCGGTGATGGGGAAAGCCGACTTGTAGTACGCCTTGTGTTTGTCGCCGAAGCTTTGAAACGCCAGCACGACGCCCCATCGATCGAGAATGTACTTGCCGATGAGGGTTCTCCACTCGGTCAAACGCATAGACCGCAAACCAGCATTCCTTGTTGACCTCTCTAGGGCACCGGCCGCTATGAACAGTGTCCAAGATTGCATCACTGCCATTGCCATATTCATTTGCGTGTCTGTCCCGTATCGGAAGACGCAGGGTCAGTGTCGCCGATGAGGAGCGCGCGTGAACATCGCCAAGGAATGCATAAACGGGATGCCAGACCTGTCGCTGAACCGTTCGGCGATGTCGCCAAGGCAGTCGCCGCCTTGGACTTGGGTGGTGCCACTCCTCTGCAGTTCGGTCTCGGCCCAGGTTTTCTGGTCGCCCGTGAAGAACGCGCGGGCGGGCTTGCTGGTCGTGTTGCCCAGTGCGATCGGATAGCGAGGAAGGGACCCTTGGACATACTCCTGACCCATGAGAAGAAGTTCGCGCACCATCGCTCGCCCCGGCCGGGACGGGCCATGGCGGTGATGTCGAACAGATCGGGCAAGGGCATAGGGTCCCCCCCCCCCCCCCCCCCCC